GCGAAAGACGCGAGTACCTTGTTCTAGAGGTTCTTGTAAAGCAGGGACCATTGGGAATGCACTTTCTTAAACGGGTATCCTAACCAAACAGGGAACCTACATTGTGGCAATTTTGGGGACAGGTATTTTGAGCAACCACCATATTGGGATAATGGAAAATAGAATGGAAACTACAGTGGTTACAGGGGTTATATGGGGTGTATATAGGGATTACAGGGTCTATACAACTTCGCCAATGAAACATTCTTCAAGCAAAAAAGCTACTTCAGACTTGAAGATGGTCCTTTGTCATCCGTATTAGCCTCTGGGATCCATTTGTGTAAACGGAGGAGGGGCTTCCTCTAGAAGGGTGGGTTTAGGGTTTAGGGTTTACAGTAGGGTTTAGGGTTCAGGGTTTAGGTTTAGGGATAATAAACACTCCTTATACTCCATTCCCCTAGGAACAACGCGCAGTAACGGGGGGTAAGCAGGATCCCAGTGTGGATACTCTATTTCTGCTAGGATTTCAGAATTCCAGACGGGCACAGGAACAAGAAATGGAATTTCCAAGCATGGGTCAATTCTGGGAATTTCCTGGAAATTCGTATTCTGAGGATTTAGGGTGTATGGGGCTAGATATGCTGCGGACCCCTGACGCCGCACGCATAAACACAAAAGCCTGAAACCGAAGACTCTAGCGCCCCAAAGCTTGAACCCTAAACCCTCTGGCGCCGAAACCTGGGACATGGACCCAAAAAACTCGGCCCGTAAACTCACGGGCCCTGAACACCCCAAAGCCTTTTATGCGTAAACCCTTAATGTCTCAAGTTCTAAACCCTTTACCTTAGCCCAAGCCGCGAAACCCAAAACACAAAAGCCCCTGAACCGCTACCCCCTGAATTTTTTGGCAGCACACACAGTATGATGTGTGCGCTAGAATTTCCCCAAGCCGGACCTTATGACTAGAATTTGACTCGTGAAGGGTCCTTATTAAAAGGGTTGAGGCAACCAAAGACACTTTTTTAATTACTTAACACAGATCCCTACATAACTAGGCGCCATAAAGCCCTGGTTTCCGTTTCATGGTCCATCATCTTTTCATTTCGATTCCACATTACTTGGTTGCAACAACCAAAAACCCTAAATTCTAAAACCCCAACCCTAAACCCTAAATCTTAGACCCTAAACCCCAAACCCCTAAACCCCTAAACCCTGTTACAGGCCATCCCCTGGCCAGCGCTCGTCTCGCTATCCTCGTTGGCGGCTTCGTGCCTCGCGACCCAGACACGGCCGGTTCCCCTACTTTCGCATTGTCACTGTTTAGGGTTTTGGTGTTTCGGATATAGGGTTTAGGATTCAGGGCTTAAGATTTAGATAATTTAGGTTCTTAATTTTAGGGTTTAGGCTGTAGGGTTAAGGATTGAGTAAGCCCTTTTCCCCTTTTGGGGGTCCTAAGTTCTCTATGCAGGTATGCTATATTCAAATAAAATAGATCATCTTTTTAGTCCAAGGTTCCTTGGGATCCTAGTGGTGGTTATTGAGAAGGGATTAGGGTTTAGGATCCTATGGTGTTTTTTTATGGGGGTATATAGGGGTATGTAGGGATTAGGGTTTAAGATTATATGGGGTTTCCCAAAATTGTACGTGATAGGGGTATAGAGGGATATAGAATGCCAATGGTGCAGAATCACATGAAACCAGAACACGGAAATTGAAATGGCAATTGGGATTATATAGTGGTTTACAGGGACGAGGGTTTCCCATAAGTAAGGCACCCGCTATGAAGGAATACAGTTTTGGGGGTATATATTGGGGTCCCCTGTTTATGCGGCCAAGTACCTCAAGGGTTCAGCATACAGCAATCGTATACTTCAGGATCCCTCATGAATTTTAGCATTTGTTTTGTGTTACATGCTTACTGTGAACATTTATGACTAAGGATATTTGGTACTTATTGGGAACATCTATTAGGGGGTGGGGGCGGGCAGCTTCATTATAGAGAAATGGGATTGCTTCGGACTTCCTCACAGCTTGTGGATCCAAATTCAACATCTTAGCATTTTGAGACATATCTGCGTGATCCCTACGGTGAGAAACATGCACAGAACTTTAGAATGAACTGGAATTTGCCTCAAACAGCTTTGGCGGGCGGTACTTCACAAGATGAGCCTGCATAAGCAGGCAGCGCGCTTGCGAGGAGATGCGTCCGGAGCTCATCGTTTGCAGAGCCCTAAGGGCCCAAAAGGACCCAAATAATAAGATCCCTTTAAAGGGGTTATAGGGAGACTATACAGGGGTATATAGGACCCAAATAACAGGGCTTTAGGGCCCAAATACCACTAATGTTCCAGTATTTGGGCCCTAAGACCCCATTATTTGGGTCCTTGGACCCTTAGGGTTGCAGAGGTTTTAAAAATAGGCTAGGTATGCGGGGAGGGTCTGGGGTGACTTTGAGGCCTATACAAAGATTATTTGAGAAGTACTCATACCCGGCGTCTGTCAGGTTTAGGGTTTAGGGTTTCACAGAAAGCAAGATTTACAGAAGAGTCAAGCAGGACCCCTACAATCCTCGACTCTGAGACCTGTTGATATCCTGGCAATTTGAGTGGATCACGGTGGAACTGTCACCCCTCCACTCTGCGGTGTACCAGGGAACCGCCAAAAAAGTGTCCTTCAAAAAGGGGGCCTCATAGGGTTCAACGTTACTTTGAGAAGCGTAGGGGGTAACATGCCCGGAAAGACTGATTTTTCCTATGCATAAATCAGGGCCTTCTCTACGGTTAGGGGGTTTAGAGTGACAAGTTCTATCACGCTTATCGTAGGACCCTCCCCTAGTAAGAGAGCCCTTAGCTTTGAACACCCTAGGCCTAAAACCGCCACTTCCGTTCGTATCTTTGCGATTATGCTTGCAGGTCCGGTGCTCTTGGCAACTGTATGGGCTATAGTCTAAACTCATTGAAGGGGAGTTATAAAAGAGACTATTATAGGGACTATTAAAAGGGGGTACTAGGAGTTTAGACTATAGCTCATATGCAGGGTCTTTCCCCGTTACAGTAGCTGTTTCGCAAAAGGTAGTCGGAATTCTCATAGCCCCTTAAATGAGAGACCGTTACGGAAAGCTATTGTTGGGGGGAATGACCCAGATCATATACCTCTAGCTGGGCTTCTAATACTAACCCTGCGCAGAGTCCCCAGGTTGTTCCAGCTAACGCAGTTCTTAAATTCAATTCCATAAATCTTCAAATGGGCGGGCAAAGTTTGGGCAAATGACGCAAGGCGAGCTGTTGTTTTCATATGCATGCGCGTGCTAGCACGGAGACGTGTATGCATGGGCTGGAATTCTACGTGGCAGGGAGTTTTGAAAATACCGCTTACCTAAACCCTCGGCAATAGAATTCGCAAGGAGAGCCCCAGATTCTCCTGTAATTGATGCATATCCCGCCCCTTCGGGTACAGTACCTCCTTGTTGAGAAACGCCTGCGTCAGGCGGTGGCACTATTCGAGCTTGGTGTATCTTGCGTGAGTGGGGGTTGATCTAGAATCTAGAGGTCCTTTGGGGAAACTGCCCAGGGATGTTGTAGGCCTATCACGAAAATTAACGGATTTTTCCAGAAGTGCCGAAATTTGATGAGCTACCCTCTATCTCCCTCCTCAGAGTATCTTTATTTGAGAGACCCCAGTCTGGCCGACAGAAACCCCAAACACCAACGCCCAACCCTTGGACTTTCAGGAGCCCAGATTCTAAGGTCGAAACCATGAGCCACTATATGGGCCCTTCCTGGATATTAACTAAGGGCCATCAATGGGTTTTGTAGGTTTAATAGGGCATTCAGTAGGTATATGAGATGTGCGGGGCCCGTGTTCCCGACCTAAACTCTAACTCCGTACGTGGGCCCACAGTTCCCACCTTGGATAGATGCACCAGTGAGGCTGAAAGTCCACTCTCTTCATGTGTCTGGCGCTGGCCTCAGCATTTCAAAGTTCAGGGTTTGGGGTTGGTTTTTTGATTGTTTTGGTTGCCTTGGGGGAGATGGTTACTTTCCAAAAGTGTTTAACGTATGGCGTCATTATGGCTATACAGGGTTCCAATTTCTGAATATCGGTGAATGTAAGCATGATGTGCCCACTTCACTGGGGAGGCCATGAACCTCGACAATATAGATGTGTGTATGTATATATGCATGTATACATATATACACACACATATATATATATAGTATGTACGTATGTGTGAAATGATAAGTGACCTAATTTGAGTAGCGTAATTGAAGTTCTTTCGCAGCAGCGCAGATTTCAGAATCGCCCAGGTGCAAATGATCTCTTGGTGACCAAAGCCAGGAGTGAGTCACTAGCGGAGCTGCTCGCGGCTCAGCACTATCCCAGGGAGGGCAAAACCCAAGCTAGGTTGAACTGAGATGCTGGTGGGATGTAAGCTAGACTTCCTGGTCGAGTTAAGGAACGGATCCACTCCAATTAAAACTTCCATGGCCTAAATAGCTTATGGACAGAACATGTTGGGATTTGGGAAACACGGCAGTGGGATGTCTTTGACGGCAATGCGCAGTACCCCAGCATGCCACACGTAAATTTCAGTAAAGGCTGAGATTTGCAGGCTTCGGCTGATGTCGGCATTCGGATTGGGACTAACACTTTTCTTGCCCTGTGATTTTGTATCTGTATCAAAGCAGCGGCGTGCCGAAGGTTTAAAGCTAAAGTCTATACTTCCAGTATCCCCTCAATAAAACCCATAATACGAACCCTATATAGTCCCCTATAAGGAGTTTGGACCACAGCCAAAACTTGAAATCCCCCTTTCTACAGACCCCAGGCTCGCCCCCGAATCTTTCTCTCGTAAGCCTTGCAAAGCTAGAAACAAATCTTATTGGTTTAGGGTATACGGTTTGGGGCTTGGAGTTCCCTACAACTGGGCAATTATCTGCCACCTCACCCGACCTCACCCTAAATAGTGGTTTATATAGGAAATAATCCGAAAGTGGCCTTAAATTGGAAATTGAAATTGTCCTAAACTACCCTGCTACAAGTCCTATAACGACAAATGTAGCCTGCAACATGGATTAGCTTATACATGTCTGTATAATCATGGGTATATGCACATATGCATATATGTTTCTACGTCCCGAAACAACGCTAGAATATTGAACTTCCTGATGCTTAAGGGAGAGTGGGGGAGTGGATTCATCTAATACTCCCCATATCATCCCGGATATACCCATAGAATGGTACCTACATTCACTCCCCCTTGAGCACCAGTAAGTTAAGTTCAGGGCCTAAACCCTGAGCCCTAAACCCTAAACCCCTAAACCCTAAACCCTACAGTAAGCCATAAACCCTAAACCCAAAGATCTCTGGGACCCTGAGGTATGCAGCCTCGTCCTCGGCGTGGTTTGAGCATCCGGGAGGCCTTTGCGCTTTTGCTACCTGTATGTAGGGGTTGTATATGGGGCTTGCCCTAGAGATGCTGGGAGTTTAGGGTTTCGGGTTCAGTGTATGTTTCCGCTTAGGGTTTAGGGTTCAGGGTGGGTGGTTCGGGGTGTAGGGGGCTTAGGGATGTAAGTATACAAATAATACCTACATTGGGCCCTAAAGTTTATAAATATTCCCCTGCGTTGTGGCATTTGCATCCCTAGGGTTATGTCAAGGGGGTATAGAGGGCGAATACGTATGTGTGTAGAAATGTGTCAGCGCGACAATGGAGAATCAAATGGACAAGATGAAGGAACATGAAATGGAAACTGGGGTTTGAAACCCGAAATCTTAAGCCCTAAACCATAGGGCTTACATAGCTTACCTGTGGTTTGCCTGCAATGCAGGCAGGAACATAGAATGGACATAAGCACATTATTGGGGATCATATAGGGGCTGTTAGAAGGATCCATTCTTTCACGCCTTGCTAACCTGAGGTAAGTTGTTGAAGAACTGAACGTCAGCTGTTAAGATGATGATGCATAGGGCGAATATAGGAGTATTTGCCGTTTTTATGTAGTTACCTGAGCTGAACTTGGGCATCCAAGCGGTTTGAACTAGTGTAGAGATTGGGGTTTAGTGCCTAAGGGCTATAGCGGCTTAGGGTTTACGATTCAGAGATTGACTGTGTTGGATATATACAAGATGTACTTGGATGATCTTGTGACGTTGTAAGTCGTAAGTCTACCTACTATCCCTAAACCCTAAACTCCATCCCCAATAACCCAAATAGTGAGCCACGGAATCCCTGGACCCAAGACTCTTAGCTGATGCTAGTTGTTGCATTCCCAAAATGCAACAACCCGACTCACAAAATGCGCTGTAGTCCAAACTCCTTATAGGGGGAAAGTAGGGGACTAGGTAGGGTTTCTATTAATTATAGGTCTCCTTGAGGGGATACCAGGAGTTTAGACCACAGTCGGCGGTTTGAGATCGGATGCAGATGTGTTCGTGCAATCTTCTTTCAATCCCATATTTCAAGAGAGTCCATGAGTGTACATCTTCAACATGTATCTCGAAATGTGGCTTTACCAAACAACTGGGGCCCAGGTATATAGCCCAACGAGGTGGTACTATGTCCCTACAAGTGCCCTACAAAAACGGAACCCCCAAGTTGCGAAAGTCTCCTGAAAAGTTGGAGTAACAACAAGGAAGTAGGTGCCCTTTGCCTGTTTTGGTGCAATCTGGGAGCCTGAACCCTAAATCCTAAACCCTATAAACCCTAACTAGGGGTCCTTACTGCTTCTAAAGGGTATACTAGAAATCTAGGAGGCCCCGGATTCAGGGCCCATGTGAGTTGTTTAGGGTCGCTATAGTAATGCTACTGGCTTTTCTGGGCTTAGGGTTTAGGTTTAGGGTTTAGGATCTAGGGCTGAGCGCAAGCGTGAGGTCATGGAATTCCTACGGGCACTGGGGAATTCAGACAAGAGCTGCAGGCTTTCGCCCTTCCCAGTTCGGAGTTGAGGTGTTTAGGGTTTAGGATTGAGGGTGTAGGGTTTAGGGTTGTGGGGTTTAGGATTTAAGGTTTGAAGGTTTTCGGATTTTTGGGTTTAGTATTGAAGGTTGGTCTTTAAGGTTGAGGCTTTAGGGTGTTGTTGCTGAAGAGCATGTTTCAATCGAATGCAACCCAAAAACGCTTCAGTCATAACCCTGTAACATTGTGCGCTAAGAAGTTTCAATGCTAGGGCCGATGTCTGTAGATAGATTTGAAGAACTTCTAGGTCGTACGTGGGGAGTTGATAAGATGCTGAAGATGCTTTGCACAGGGTTTACGGGTAGAGTCTCGGTATGTCTCGGTTACAGTACTTACAGGGCCAATGTCGAAGGCTCTGAGATAAGAACAGCCTGTTGTCAAGCAAGAGAGTAGATTCCCGCACATTCGGCAGAAGTTTGTTATCGTCTTGGCTTCGGCTAGTTCGGTCCCAAACAATGACAACGCTGTACACCTTGCCCCCCGAAATTGGCTTGCCCACAAAATTTGTGCGGAACGGGACGTGGAGATGCCTAACTAGTGGCAGAGGAAAGGCTACCCTCTATGTATTTCTTTTGTCTCATTTTTCCTTGTTGTATAGCACCCCCCGACCCCACATTGTTCAGTTTGCGTGCTCGATAGCCAGGGAAGTGCTTAGCTGTTGATGTTGCTCTTTCTGTGGTCGTTGGCTGCTTCTGCCTGATCTACTCTTTATTATCACGAAATTGCATCTACTGGCGCTCACCGGAACCAATTTCCACTTCCATCATGATACGTGTCCTTTATAACCTGGAGCAGGGTGCTAGGTGTGGCGAACCTTTTGGGCCCCCTGTGCGGCTTTGCATGCCTGGACGCTGGATCTGGGAAGCAAGCAGTATGGCCTGAACGCCTGATAGACCTATAAACGGCCTGCATCTTTGTGCATTGAGCCGCCGCATTTTAGATCAGTTAGGCGTTCAAGGAAACAAAAATGCCCATAGCGTCGGGGGTTTGAATCTAAGAAGCTTTGAAGAAGAGCCCATTAACCCGTATCCCTTTTATTGAGGAACGCTCTGTTTCATGTACTCTTCACTCGAAGTACTTCTTCCGACTTCCGTGAACGGCGGCACATGGCAAAAATCCCCCAGAGCAACATTGCGTACAACCACGACCAGGCAGGAATGCATGTAATTAGTCATGGATCTAAGATGATTTAAGATTATCCTTGTCGGGTCCATGGTTCTCAGCAGCTGGTCTTACATTGGTTTAGGGCTCAGGATTTAGGGATTAGGTTTTATACGGTATATGCCTAGACCTCTACACCCTACCCCTTGTTTAGGGTACCTAACCTGTATCTAGCACGCACTAGACATAACGTTAGGCATCTTAAAAACGGATAGCGCGTGCAGCTCTAGCGTAGGGTTCAGTCTAGGCAGACCATTGCGAGAGATTTGCAAGATGTTGGTCAGGTAGTTCTCCTTTATACCTTTCGGGTGTGTGGTCTTGGGTTTGGATCCCTCCGCCATGGAATGTGACATTTGAGTGGGGGGTATTTGGGACCCAAGGGGTGCAAACTTTGAGTCTTTTCATTTGGATTATTGAGTGCCATCATTTCCTTGGGATTCTGTGGGCTTGCAACGTTCTGCCCTAAACCTAAAACCCTGTCTCCGTAGGTCTCGTATGATGGACGTGCAGAGCTGGTATTACAAGTGTTTTACATTCAGTTTGCGTGGAAGCAGACTTGAAGGCTTTTGTGAAGTTTTTGCGAGCCACAGCTTGGGCTGTCAGGTCACAGAGTTGTGGGCTTGAACTCGTATCAAGACAGAAACAGGTCAAAATACAACCAAAATGGACAATTTTCGGAATTTATTGTTTTCGGCCCTACTGTCATTCTATATTGATTTCTATGGTTTCTATATTAAGGGTCATATCTTTTCGCTTCCATATTTGTGATATGCTATTTATGTAGTTCTACGCTATTGGTTGATCGTTTGCTGATGTGGCGCTTTCTTTTGTATTTCTATTCAATATCCATTTTTCAGTTTTGTTGATATGTGTTTCTATGTTGGTGTTGTGCTTATATACCTATGTTTGTTCCATGTTGGTTTCCATTGTCCCAAATCGGGGTGTCTTCTTTTGTCGGTTCTATTTTGGTTCCATGGTTGTTGTCTGCTGAGGTGGTTTTCTGTTTCATCTCCATGCATGTTTTTCTCTGCCTTGAGGTCTTTGGTATCGTATTTCAACCTATTTCTGCCTTACTACGGAACCTAACATAACTGCACAATCACAGAGCAGAAAAAGCAGCAATAGGGGGAATAACGGTTTTGAAGCTACGAATGTCAATCACCACATCCCCGTTTTAATATCACCCCGCTTGCAAAGAATAGGCTCATTCCTTTCACCCTACACCCTAAACCCTGAATATTAATCTTCGGAGCCAAGACTGCCTCTAAGGTGGAGATGGCGAATCGAGTTCAAAGTTTAATCCAGTGAAGGGAATGAGGGAGTGGGTTGTAGGTTGGGTCATTCCCCCTGATAGCAGCTGCCCTGGTAGGGGTGTTCATCAATGTTACCTCTTGTGGTAACAGTCACTGTGAGGGGGAACAGCCTAAGTTATAGGAATCCTTACAGTGCAAATTATACATAGGGAACCACCATCCCCTTTGCTCCGTCCAGGTCAATGCCGAAGAGGGCCAAGCTCCTCGGGCAATAGTACTAGTAACAGTAAGAATAATGATAACAGTAAATGTAGTAGTAATTCTGATAATGGTACTGGTAACAGTGATCGTAATAGCAATAGCAATAGTAATAGTAATAGTAATAGTAATAGTTATTGTAATAGTAATAGTTATTGTAAGGGTAATAGTAATAGTAATAGTACTAGTAATAGTAAGTACATTTTTCTGAGGGGTAATGTGCTCACCATCAGCTCCGTCCAAGCTCACCTCAATCACATCACCATCGGAATGGCGATGCCGCCGCGCAGGCTGGACGTCGCTTATGACGCGGAGGTTGGATGCGATTGTGGAAGTTTCCGGCCATTGCTGAACCAGATTGAGCTCACACCTATGGGCCGATCCCTCCACTTCGGGGCTCCCCCGTCCTCACCCCTCTGCCTCCTTGTCGATGCCTTGCGGGCGGTAAGGCCGGGGACGTAGTGCCTAGGATAGATCCAGCGGACCTCTCGGCCAAAGTGCCCTTGACTGGACTCGCTCGTGGGCGGCGTTTCGTAATCCCTGGAATAGTAATAGTTATAGTAATGGTAATAGTAATAGTGATCGTTTAATGATTGGAGGATCAGCCTTTTTCAGGGTTCGACTTGAACTGTCCAAGTATTATCGCCAAGTGTTTAGGCTTGTGGGCTTGGATTTTAGCACGGAGTTTGGGATTTGGGGGGGTGGAAAGTTTGTTATTCAGAGTCGAGAGACTTCTGGATACAGAAACTCATGTTCTGGGGGGCTTAGGGTTTCAGGGCTTCGGGTTTAGTTAGGGCTTGGAGGTTGAGAACCGATTCAACTTTTGGGGGACTTCTGTAAGCTGAGGAGGGTAGCTCAAAGAACGCCCTATATCCTAAAAGCCCTCAATCCTCTAAACCCTGCCTGGTGGGTCAGTTCAACTTAGCATAGTAAGTAGGTTATTAACCCTTATAACCCATATAGTAACCCCAGTTATCCCCCTTATTAACCTACTTACTAAGTCCCCCTGACCCTACATGCAGACCCTAAACCCAAAAAAATGCCTGGGCTTGTGCCGGAGAATCTGGGAGATTTCCAAGTGCTCACCTGTTTCAGGAAGTAACCCTGGCGCTGATATGGCTTGATGTAGGCAATATTCTGGGTTGCTGCTCAGGAACTTAGGATTTGGGGTTAAAGGGTTTGGGGGTTAAGGCATTTACTGGCTTGCTGTTAAGGAACTGAAAGTAAGTTGGGTCTATAGCAAACAATGGGGTTTCCTTATGGCAGCTTCAGCTCCTTAACAGCAACCCAGCTGAAAGCTGTGCTTTTCCCTGGATTGACAGGGATTGGCTCGCAATTCCGTGAGAACGTTTTGTAGCTGTTCTTCTCTGCAAAAACTCGGTCTTCCACATAAGAAGTTTGGAACAAGGGTTTAGATTCTAGGGACATATGCATATATGTATATGTATAGACTCACACACACACACACACTCAAGTGTTTATATATATATATATATATGTATGCTCCTGAAGACTGCTACCCTAAAACAAATCCAAGTAGCACAAACAGACAAGTTTGGCACCCATCCCGAGGTTCTTCTGGAAGAGAAAAACAAGAAGCGTGCCGTTGCGGCACTGGGTTCCATTGCTACTTTCAAGGGTTTAGGGGTTAGGGTGTCAGGGTTTAGGGGTTAGGGTTTAAGGGTTTAGGGCAGGGGTTATAGGGGTTAGGCTTTAGGGTTAGGGTGTAAGGAGGGTTCGGGGTTTAAGGGTTCGGGTTTGAGGGTTTAGGGCTTGGGGGTTAGGGTTTAGGGTTAGGGTGTAAGGAGGGTTCAGGGTTTAAGGGTTTAGGGCTTAGGTGTTCGGGTTTAGGGTGAGTGTGCAAGGAGGGTTCAGGGTTTAAGGGTTAGGGTTTAGGGTTTGAGGTTTAGTAAGGGGACGGTTAGGGTTTTTAAGGGTTAGGGTTTAGGGCTTTGGGTGGCTTAGGGCCAAGGGGTCGCTGCTACTTTACGACCTCCGGTGGATATTGAATATCCTACATGACCCTAAGTATAGCATACCTTGGGAATTCTGGTATTCTAGTATACTAGGTCATGAGGTCATGTCAGTGAAGGAGCTTTAGTGTCAACCGCGGGAGCTACGTTTTAGGGCGGCATGGGACTAAGGGTGGGCAGGGTGCCCTGTTGAGCGATGGCGGAAGGTGAAATGTGCCAACAGCGGTTCAGGGGTTCAAAGAGTTCACCTCCCTAAAATCAGCTATCAGTTCTGTCGGGGCTTGGAAATTTGTATGTCGAGTTCTCCTAATGAATAC